GCAAAAGCAGTAATAAGAGGAAAATATATAGCAATAGAAGCTCACATCAAAAAACAAGAAAGAACTCAAAGAAACAACCTAATCTCGAAGCTCAAAGATCTAGAAAAAGAACAACAAAAAAACCCCAAAACCAGTAGAAGAAAAGAAATAATAAAAACCAAAGCAGAAATAAATGAAATTGAAACTAAAAAAAAACAATCCAAAAGATCAATGAAACCAAGAGCTGGTTCTTTGAAAAAATAAATAAAATAGACAAACCCCTAGCCAGGCTCACAAAGGAAAAAAGGGAGAAAGCACAAATACACAGGATCATAAATGAAAGAGGAGAAATCACAACGGACACAGCAGAAATCAAAAGAATAATCAGTAACTACTATGAACAGTTATATGGAAACAAGTTCAACAATCTAGAGGAGATGGACAAATTCCTACAACTCTACAATCACCCAAAGCTAGATAAAGAAGAAATATAACACCTAAACAGACCAATTACAAGCAGCGAAATTGAAATGGTAATCAAAAACCTCCCCAAAAACAAAAGCCCAGGGCCTGATGGATTTACAAATGAATTCTACCAAACATTCAGAGACGAATTAGTGCCTATCCTTCACAAACTCTTCCAAAAAATTGAAAAGGAAGGGACAATACCAAACACGTTCTATGAAGCCAATATTACACTAATACCAAAACCGAATAAGGACAACACAAAAAAGGAAAACTACAGGCCAATCTCCCTAATGAACACTGATGCAAAAATCCTCAATAAAATTTTAGCTATCAGAATCCAACAATGTATCCATCAGATAATTCACCACGACCAAGTTGGATTCATTCCAGGGGCACAAGGATGGTTTAACATCCGAAAATCAATCAACGTTACCCAACACATCAACAAAAAGAAATATAAAAACCATATGATAATATCAATAGATGCTGAGAAAGCTTTCGACAAAGTGCAACACCCATTCATGATAAAAGCCCTTGAAATTCTTGGGATACAAGGAACATACCTCAACATCATAAAGGCCATCTATGACAAGCCAACAGCCAGTATCATTCTCAATGGTGAAAAGCTGAAAGCAATTCCATTAAGATCTGGAACAAGACAAGGATGTCCACTCTCACCACTGCTTTTCAATATAATACTGGAAGTCCTAGCCAGAGCAATAAGACAAGAGAAAGACATCCAAGGAATCCAAATAGGAAAAGAAGAAGTCAAACTATCACTATTTGCAGATGATATGATAATATACATAGAGAACCCCAAAATCTCCACAGAAAAACTAATTCAACTCATCAATCAATTCAGTAAAGTGGCAGGATACAAAATCAACACGCAAAAGTCAGTAGCCTTCCTATACACAAACAATAAATCTGAAGAAGAAGAAATCAAAAAAACCGCCCCTTTTATTATTGAAACAAAAAAAAAATCAAATATTTGGGAATAAATCTAACAAAAGAGGTAAAGGACCTATACAAAGAAAACTATAAAACACTGTTAAAAGAAATAGAAGAAGACACAAAGAAATGGAAAGACATCCCCTGCTCATGGATTGGAAGAATAAACATTATTAAAATGGCCATCCTACCAAAAGCAATATACAGATTCAATGCTATTCCAATCAAAATCTCAATGGCATTCTTCAAAGAAATAGAACAATTATTGATGAAATTCATATGGAATCACCAAAAACCCCGAATAGCCAAAGCTCTACTGAAAAAAAAAGAAGGAAATGGAGGCATCACACTCCCAGACTTCAAACTATACTACAAAGCCATAATCATCAAAACTGCATGGTATTGGAACAAGAACAGACATACAGACCAATGGAATCGAATAGAAAATCCAGAAATAAACCCACAGATTTATGGTCAACTAATCTTTGACAAAGGAGCAAAGACTATGCATTGGAGCAAAGAAAGTTTGTTCAGTAAATGGTGCTGGGAAAACTGGGTCGCTACATGCAAAAGAATGAAGCTTGACCACTACCTCACACCATACACAAAAATCAACTCAAAATGGATTAAAGAACTAGACATAAGACCTGAAACCATAAAATACATAGAAGGAAATATAGGCGACACACTACGGGATTTGCACATCAAAGACATCTTTACAGACACATCACCCAAAGCAGTGATAGTGAAGACAAAGATAAACAGCTGGGACTACATCAAATTAAAGAGCTTCTGCACAGCAAAAGAGACAATAACAAAAACAAAGAGAAACCCCACCAACTGGGAGAACATTTTTGCACCCAACACTAATGATAAAGGACTGATCACAAAAATCTGCAAAGAGCTGATGAGACTCAGCAACAACAAAGAAAATAATCCAGTCAAAAAATGGGCAGAAGAGGGCCTCCCCGGTGGCGCAGCCGTTGAGTGCTGGGTTGCGAAGCTGCCCGCGGCCTCTGCGGCGCCGGTTCGATCCCCGGCTGCTCCCCGGCCACCGGAGGAGGGTCCCACATGGCGCGCAGACCTCTCCTGCCGCCCGCTGCTCCCCTCAGCAGTGTACTTCGGTCCTTCTGCCTGCTCTGCTCCCCGCTCTGGCTCTGGTGAATTCTCTCACCCTCCCGCGCTTCTGACTGTACCCAGTGCCTGTATAAATAAATAAATAAATCTTAAAAAAAAATTTACTTATTAAAAAAAAAAAAAAAATGGGCAGAAGAGCTAAAAAGAAACTTCTCTGAAGAGGAAATGCAAATGGCCAACAGGCATATGAAAAAATGTTCAACATCACTTGTAATCAGGGAAATGCAAATCAAAACTACCATGAGATACCATCTCACACCAGTGAGAATGGCACATATTAAAAAAACTAGCAACAACAAATGTTGGCGAGGGTGTGGAGAAAAAGGAACTCTTCTGCACTGTTGGTGGGAGTGCAAACTGGTCCAACCACTATGGAGAGCTGTGTGGAGATTTCTGGACCTACTAAACATAGAGCTTCCATATGATCCAGCAATTCCACTCCTAGGTATTTACCCAAAGGACACAGAAACATCAATTCCAAAGAGCACCTGCACCCCTATGTTTATAGCAGCACTGTTTACAATAGCTAAGCTTTGGAAACAACCCAAATGCCCAAAAATAGATGACTGGATCAAGAAGATGTGGTACATATATACCATGGAATATTACTCAGCATTCAAAAAAGATAAACACATGCAATTTGCAGCAACATGGATGGCGTTGGAAGGGATCATGCTCAGCGAAATAAGCCAAAAAGAAAAAGAAAAATACCGGATGGTCTCACTCATAGCAGGAATCTAGAAAACTTAAATAAGGGACCAGGAAAATGAATATAAGAAAGTGAAAATCAAAATCAACAAAAAACTATGAACCAGAGACACTTTTTGGGGGGTGGGGGGCGGGAGGGGAAGGATTGGGGTCAGAATGGGGCGTTTGCAATTGTATGGGGGAATATAAAAATAAAATTTAATATTAAAAAAAAAAATGCCCAGATCTCATAAACAATACATAGACAAAGCCAAAAAAACGCACTTTGTTTATGACTCCTGTCCAGAAGGTAAGACTACAAAGCACTAACTCTTACCATAAAATTCAAAATATCCCCTTATGGAGAAGGAAGGTGACCCTTTGGTGAATCACACATGAAGCACCTTAATGCTTCTGGCATTTTTCTCTGTTAAGTTCGTGTTTTCTATACAAATGCTAGTTTTATTATTATTTTTTAGCTGTTAGGAATATTCCTTTGTACAAAAAGTACAAATAAGGGTAGAAATGTGGCATTTGCATGCTTAATCACGGCAGTCAATTATTGGAGACACTTCTTGTGGAGACCCCGATCCTCGTTTGGCTTGTGACACCAGACAGAACGGCAGCTCCACAGCCTCCCTGGCAGGGCAGCGGGCCAGCCCTGCCTGGTGGAGGGTCCCAGAGCCCCCCCCCCCAAGTATGCTCAGGGATACCGTCTCCCAACTTCAGCAGCTCATTTCTGGGGCTCAGTCCCATCTCCTGAGACATCTGCAGTTTTCCCACTGTGGGGCACTCTGTTCCATCTGAAATGGGAGCCGTGCTCTGCTTAAGCAGCTAGGAGCAAAGAGCCCACTAAATGCCCTGGCCGCTCCTCCTAAGTAGCAGATATCTCCAAAGGTTTATGTATTGGTGTGTTCAGGGGTACATTTGTGGGGTATATTTATGCCTGGGGTACAGGCCAGAGGTGCAGGGGGTGAGAGGATTCACCAGAGACAGAGTGGGGAGCAGAAAGGCAGATCTACTGAAATACACTGCTGAGGGGAGCAGCGGGCAAGTCAGGAGAGGTCTTCTGTGCTGTGTGGGTAGCTCCCTGGCTGGGGATCTAAGTCGTGCTGCAGTGGCTATGGATACTTCATAGTGCAGCAACTTAACCCCTTGCGCCCCCAGGGGGGCCCAGCAGATCTGTCTAGATGCCTAGGCCACTCTTCCCCAGGTGCAGGTCCTGCTGCACCCTGGCCATCCCTGTTAGCATCTGCAGCCCAGGACCCAGGACAGCACATTCCCATGTCCTTCTGTTGCAGTGGTCATGGCTCTGGTGCCCCCCCCCCATTCCTTCTTCAATTTCCCAAATTCTAGACTCTGCCCACCCTAGGAAATTGAGTGTGACGCCGATGCCATCAGGCTGCTTCGGGTGCTCTGGGGCAGTATGTTGTGGCAGTGGGCACATCATGGTAAAGGCGGCCGTAAGAAGTAGGTGCTGTCTCTACCCTGTTCTGTAGGTGGGAGAACTGTGGCACAGAGCTTAAGTGGGACATCAGACCCTCAGAGCTTGGGGAGCCCATGCAATGTGGTCTCAGCCCCTGTGGCAGTGCACACCAGGAAGCCTGACTGGTTCCTCAGCACTCACCCCTTCGGGAAAGAGTAAGACCGCAGTGATTCTGCCCTAGTCAGACCCCCGGCCTAACTTTGACTTTCCAAACTTTCCAGTCATCTCTATTCTTTTATAATAACCTGCAAATAGTTGTGTTTATCTCACTTTCTGCACCCCTCCAATCCAGATGCATACCCTAATTCCGAAGTCGTCTATGTCTGGACCAATGGCACCACCAAGTCGGTGGTGGTGGCTGAAGATGGGTCCAGGCTGAACCAGTACCACCTGATGGGGCAGACAGTGGGCACCGAGAACATCAGCACCAGCACAGGTGAGTCCCCCACATGGTGTGCCCAAGCACACCCCCTCTGGCCAACTCACCTTGGCATTGCAGGGCCTGGCTGTGGAGCTGTGCAAGCCGCTCGCTAGGCAATTTTCACATCAGGGTCCCCCCCACTCCTGCAGCTGCACAGGGAGGCACCAGCAGTGGTGGTCTTTAATGCCAGGCATTAATTTACGCACATTTGCCCCGTGCGAGCAGGGCGCTGCTTACATCACACATCCCTGCCCCAGTGCTGAGACACACAGGGAGCATCTCCACAGCAAAGGTACACAGCATTCTGCAAATACCTCATTTACCTTCTCCCTGTCCTTTTGCTTTGAAGATTTCAGAGATTTCTCCACGGCTTGGCACAGCCAAGCAGCCTAGGACGCTGAGGCCTTCCAGGAGGGAAGCAGGTGCTCACCCCCAGGCTTAGCTGGTCTGGCCTGAGCTCCAGGGTCCCCTGACACAAATGCACAGAGTGTCCAGAGGATCAGAATATGCTCCTGAGCCACAAGATGTGTCCCCCAGCGCCTCCTGGCCACAGAGGCCCACCCTGATGGTCATGCTCATTAGTCATGGCTGGGAGAGGGAAGGGACTTCCAGGGATTTCGTGGCAGAGGAGAAAAGTACCTGAAGGTAGAGCAAGCCTGAAGGCTGGGGTAGGTGTCCACAGCAGCCTGGTCAGCACTGCTGTCAGCAAGTCCGCCCCTCAGAGCAGGCAGCACACAGGCCTTCAACGCATTTCCCCTGAGCGAAGTGTCCTGTCCTGCCCTCGGACCCCACTGACCATCTTGGGAGACAGGGGGCCTAGGAGGACCCTGCTCGCCATGGGAAGGACGAGGAAGCCGGCCAGATGTGATGGAAACAAGTGAAAATGACTGGCCTGGCTGTTGCCGGGATGCTAATGGAGGCTGCTGAGGGTACAAGCTGCCTCACATAGTTCTTAAAAGACTCTTAGTGGGGTTTCTACCCCTATTTGCACTCTAAAAAGCATGGTCTTTCTTGCATTAAGATGAACTGATACTCACCCACAAGTCAAAAATAAAACAGGTTGAAAAGGACAGAAAGAGAAGGAAAAGTAGAGTCATTTCAGTCTCCACAGCACAGACAGAGGACGCTGGGTCGCCTCCTTTCGGGAGCTGAGAAGAGGCGACACTGGGACGTTATGAAGACCAGTCCATGTCACTGCCTCCTCTTCTTTGTGCCAGTCTAGTCTCTTTCTCCTGTGATGGAGTCAGCTGCTCTCACCTGCTCTCACCTGCCTGGGAGCCACGTGGAGGTGTGGCCCACCACCTGAGTGTCTCCAGGCGTGGCAGATATTTGGAGGCTTCCTTTTCTGTGAAAGGACCGATTTCACCACCTGTGTTCTCTTCTCGATGGTTCCTTCTCTCTGGAATGCATGGTGTTGAGGGAGGTCACCTCGGGACACATCCTCAGCCGGCCTTGCTAAGCTCTGGCTTTGGTTCCAACAGCTAGCGTCAAAGCTGTGTGATCAGCCTCAAAAGTCCCCACACTGTCCAGGCAACTGGCATCACAGCCCTGAATAGATGACTCCACCTGGGTAAGTGGGGGCCCAAAGCAGCTCCCCACATTTGCAGGTTAGCCTGACTCCCTGGCCACACCGTCACAGTTCAACCAAAAAACTGTCATTTTCGGATTAGCTGGATTCTCCCTCTGCTTCTCAGAGCATCTTTCCCATCTCTCCAGGGAGATACAAATTCAAGTACAAAGGAGCCTCCCCTCCATCAGCTGTCTCCCCACCCCATCGCAGCCGCCAGCGCACCCCCTTACCAGTTCACCATCAGGACAGCATCATTCTCAGCGATGAGTGGAAGGTCCCCACAGGCTTCCCACACAGCCAAGCAGACCCACAGAAGGCACTGGGCATTGCTGAGGGAATGTTCAGGATTTCAGAGTGAGGACTACAGCTTTCTACCTGGTAGGCAGTGGAAGGAAGGAGCTGCTGGGGCGCTGACCTCCAACTGGAGGCCGTTGCTCCTCAATCTCCACTGGCCAGGGGAACAAGCATGGGCCTGCCCAGGGTGGCGGCCCAGTTCCTTCCAGCCTCCTCCATGGCCAGAAACAGGGAAAAAAACTCTCCACCCACAACTGGGCTCTGTGATGTGCCAAGTTACATCTGGGGAGGCTTAATCCTGAAATCCTAATGGCTGTAGCAGCAGGGGGTGGGTGGAGAGTGGCACTGATTGTGTCCAGGGATTAGGGAAAAACACCAATCTGATTTTCCTTAGAAAAAACATCTGCCAAAAAAGACTCATCAGAGGCTGGGGTCAGCAGACTTCCTTACATAAACTGACAATTCAGAAATCCCTGCATCCACCTCTCTCCGCTCCTTCGCCAGAAGGATACCCATAAATGTCCTTGTCCAGCCAGAAGGTGTGGTGAAGCCAGGCTCCTGGGACGGCTCTCATCTGGGGCCAGAACACAGGGGAGGTAGGACTGTGTGAGCTGATGGCATGAATGCGCTTATCCGCAGGTGAATATACAATCATGACAGCCCATTTCCACCTGAAGAGGAAGATCGGGTACTTCGTCATCCAGACCTACCTTCCCTGCATCATGACAGTGATCTTGTCACAGGTGTCCTTTTGGCTGAACCGAGAATCCGTCCCAGCCAGAACCGTGTTCGGTGAGTGTCCCCAAGCTGGGTCTGGACACTGGTGCCTGGGGCTGCTTCTGACCTCAGCCAACCAACAACAGCCTCTGCTATCCTCTACCTGCGATCCTGGAAAACAAAGGTGCCAACTAATCAGGAATTCAGTGGTAGGGATTAGGGTTTAGGATGTGCTCTGAAGGAGGGCTTAGGGATATGTGTTCTTTTTGATCATTAGTTCCCTTTTGAAGCTGGTAGCCTTGTTTATTTTATTTATTTATGTATTTACTTATTTATAGATTTGAAATTGCCAGCAATCTGTCTTCTGTGGGATTTTACTGTAGTATTTTTGCAGATCTCATAAAGAACTGTTTGACATGTTATCAAGCAGTTTTCTTTGAATTTTTCTTTGAAAATTCACTCCCAAGTGGCAATCGTAGTATTTCATATGTGGTACAGCAGTCATGAATTCTGTGTGTAATATCACATATGGCAGACATGGGGAAATACTCCCTACCCCTCTGGGTTCTACTGAGGCTGAATGAAACAAATAAATTGACATCAGACAGATTAGTAGGACAAAAAGACCAAATTTAATAATATACGTAGGGAGAGTTTACATGGTTATAAATTATAAAGTAATTGGGGCAAACTGGGGGTTTATATCCTATGCTAAGGGATCTGGGGCATCAAAGAGCGGGGGTGACTTGATGTGACAAAACCTTCTCTCTAAATGCTTGCCTTGCCTTGAGGTAGGCCTCTGTGATTAGGTTGTCTGGGTATAGCCCTAAATTTAGCTGATCTGCATTCTTTACATAATGGTAACAGTTTCTCCTGAGACTCACAGAGCCTCAGCTGACGTGTGTGTGTGTGTGCGTGTGTGTGTGTGTATCACATCTTTATCCCATCATTGGTCAGTAGGCATTTAGGTAAACAGTAGAAATGGATTGAGACTGCAGGTCTAAAATCAAGGTGTTAGCAGAATTGGTTCCTTCGGAGGCTGTTAGGGAAGACTCTGTCTGTTCCAGGCCTGTCACTTCCTAGCTTCCGGTAGTTCTTGGCTCATGGCAGCATGATTCCAATAGTGACATGGCATTTCCCTGTGTGCACATCTGTGACACCCACCACATTGTATTTGATCTGCCTATAGGCCTTTTTTCCGGCTTGATTACTTCTGTAGAGGCCCTAATTAAAGTAAGATCACATTCTGAGGTGCTGGAGGTTAAGACTTTGACATGGAAATTGGGGGAGAGGACAATATAAACAGGTGCATCACACCCACACCCCATGTACACAGACACAAATTAGTGCAGACAAGACTGCAATGAGGAGGAAGGCATGGTTAACAGTGGAAGCCATTCAGGTTTGTAAGGGCCTGGCATACCTGGGTATGATTATGGGTTCTCAGTTGCCAGCTGTCAAATTTGAGGCTATTGTTAAATATTTTTAAGTCTTTAAGCTCTTGACCTACAAAGTGGGGATCATAACACACATTGAGGATGTGGCTTAGATTGGAGTCTAGCAGTTGGTAGATGTTTCCTAATCTGCCAGTCCTAAAAGGATGACCCCTTCCAAGGGACCAGCCTCACTATATGGTCACTACAGAGCTTCCCCAGAAACTGCAACAGCAGCCACAGCATCTGGCACAGCAGTCTAGAGATCACACTAATCACTCTCTGAGGGGGTGAGGGGCCACCTGGTGTCAGACATGAAGCTGGAATTGCATCCTGGCTCCTGCAAGTCTGCAGCTGGTTAATCCAATTGAAATCCAGTCTGTCTCATCAGTTGTCTCCAGCCCACTACTCGTAAGGTACATAGTTTATCTTTGCGAAATACTTCAGTCCACACTCTGTGAACTCCACTGCCCTTTCTCTGTGGGGTATTGTCAGGTGCCACCAAGAAATACCCCTCATTTGACACATCTTTGCTGAGATTGCTTACAAGCAACAGGAACATGGCTAGGGTATGTGCATAAATCAAACCCACTGTCCTCCTTGGTGACTATCATAGTCTATAGCAAAAATAGCATATTCTACAAGAATACCATATTGACAAGAAAAATAAAATAAAAATGTCAATGCTACAAATGTAGCAAAGGTTATGAAAACCATTGACAGGGAAGTCCAGCCTGGGAGTGAATGCGATCAGTTCCCATCCTGTCTTTGTCACGTTCAGAGATGTTATCCTGGGACCCATTGCCAGTACTGATCCCTCTTTCCATTCTCCACCCCCCATCCTTGACACCCACAGGGGTGACCACTGTGCTGACCATGACGACTCTCAGCATCAGTGCCCGGAACTCTCTCCCCAAAGTGGCCTACGCCACTGCCATGGACTGGTTCATCGCCGTGTGCTACGCTTTTGTCTTCTCCGCCCTCATCGAGTTTGCCACAGTCAACTACTTCACAAAACGAGGCTGGGCCTGGGATGGCAAGAAAGCCCTGGAAGCTGCCAAGATCAAGGTACTGACTTAATTTTTCTCTTTGCTCCAGAGAAAACCTGGATTCTGATTCTGCGTTGAACTATGAGGTGTGTCTCTCGCCCTTTCTCCCTCCCCACAGTGACTCCTTTCCTTTCTTACAAGGTTCTCAAAAAGACTTCCTTCCTGTTAACAGGTTTCAACTCTATTTTGAATCACCAGCTTCCTTCAAGAGAAAGGTCCAATGTTAGGTTAAAGGCTCAGGTTTACGTGTACTCACGTCCGTTAACTTTACAAAGTCCTCCTGCCTGCTTGTGGACAAAGGCTTGCTTGTCCAGTTTTGAATTGCACAGCCTATTCTTCTGCTCGCTCTATTGCCACTTTATCAAGCAGTGTGTCTTCTGCAAGGTGGCTTTAAGGTCGTGAGGGGACGTGCCATTTATTGGAAGCAGCCCATCAGCAAAACTTACCCACTTCCTCTGACAAGACGATTTGGCTCGCCTGAGCGATCCACATGACTGATTGTGGAAAGCATGACTGTTCAAAGCAATTAATCGCTGGGGTATTTAGAGGACTGTTTGAAGAAAAAAGGTTGCACAAGATTCCAAGCTGAACCATGTCCTTGGGGAGTTGAGAATTTAAAAAAAAAAAAAAAAAACATGGAATAGAAAATAAAACAGCTCATGATAAACTGCTAATTATACCAGGCTTTAGACAAACAAACAATCCTTTGTTCTGAGAGCAAGCTAAAGCTTCAGGGTAGATATAGAAATAAAACTTAATTTGCCCTTTGAAAAAGCAGCTTAAAGAATGTTCTAGAAGACTAGAATTATATATATGTCCTGGCCTTCTAACCAGAGTCACAAACCAATAGTGGCTGGCACAGGACATTCCCCTTCCGCTGAGGACACTCAGCTCTCTCATTGCAGACCCATGCTTGCCTTTTGCCTTTAACACTGCTGTTTCTTTTCCCGTGAAAAGTCAGAGGCTCTGATGTGACCTGGCCCATCTCACTTTTCCTACCTCCCAGTGCCTCAGATCCCCACCATGTCCATGTTTCAGTCATGGAAGACCCACCTGGAGTCCAGCTGAAGGGAGGAGAGAAAGACCCATTCTGGGCTCTGTCAGGGAAGAGGGAAGGGAGACGAGGGTTTGGCCAGCACAGACTCAAGTGAGGGTTTGTGTTGGGGGCGGGGGTGCAAGAGCGAGCTCACCTCAGTGGACAGTTGGTGGGGAGCTGGGAAAATGTTTATGGTGGCAGGGCATCCTCAGACACAGGATTTTTTTTTTAAGATTTATTTATTTATTTATACAAGCAGTGGGTACAGTCAGAAGCGCAGGAGGGTGAGAGAATTCACCAGAGCCAGAGCGGGGAGCAGAACAGGCAGACTGACGAAATACACTGCTGAGGGGAGCAGCGAGCGTGGCAGGCGAGGTCTGCGTGCCATTTGGGACCTTCGCCAGTGGCCGGGGATCGAACGGGTGCTGCAGAGGCTGCGGGCAGCTTTGCAGCCCAGCGATCAACCGTTGCGCCACCTGGGAAGCCCCAGACACAGGATTCTTAGCCAAAGCTCCTGGACTTGGTCATGCCAACAGAGGAAGCCATGGCAAATGTTTATGGGGGAGGAGCAGGGGCTTCTAATACCTAGTAATGTTTTGTGGGAAGGTAAATGTTTGCTATGCAGGTGGGTCTTGAATGTCCATGCACGGTGGGCTGGAGACGGCAGGTAGGAGTCTGTTGCATAAATTGAGGCAGTCAGGCTCCTGTTTGTGAGTCTAGAAGGAAAGTGAACCCAGGGTTACACAGAGAACCTTAATGTTGTTGGGTGGATTCACTATTATCATCAGCCACCATGTTCACACTCAGTCCCACTGTTGTTGCAACTTGCCGTAAGTCTGGATAGAAACCTGGAAGGAGCTGAAAGCAACATCACTGTACAACCCCAGACTAGCACTAATATTTGAGAACAAAAACGTTCCTCAGGAAGGCTTAGGGAACCAAGTGTGGTTCCCCAGAAGGTTGTGGTCTGTTAAGCCCCAAATGCTCTGTGCAACAGAAACATCTAGGCAGCTGCAGGCACTCGGGCATACGTTAGACTCTGGTGTTGAGCACAGGTAGGTGAACAGAGTGTGAGCAGGTGAGCATAACCCAACTTTTACTTAGAAGCAGAGAGTATGTGAAAAACAGGCTGTGTTCACTACCATTACTTGCTGTGCTGTCCAGAAGCAAATGGGCCAGAGTTGGGATTCAAGGTAACTTCCAGGCATGAGTACCTGTGCATGGGTGGAGGAGGAAGCAAGATTCATTGGAGGAAGAAGTTGAAGTTGACCCTGAAGGAGCCAGAACTAGAGGCTGACTGCCTGTCACCCTGCCCATGGCAGATCGATCCACCTCATTGACTTTGATGCATTTCAAAGTAAATATCACAGGAAAATAGGTTTCCAGTAAATAGTTCGACACACATATCATGGACTAGAGTTCAGAACTTCTTTACACTTTGACTCTTTTTTTAAAAAAAGATTTATTTATTTGTGCATACAAGAACTGGGGTACAGGCCAGAGATGGGGGGTTAGAGGATTCACCAGAGACAGAGGGGGGAACAGAACAGGCAGACTGACTGAAATACACTGCTGAGGGGAGCAGCAGGCGAGTCAGGAGAGGTCTGCTGCGCCATGTGGGTAGCTCCCTGACCAGGTATCTAATTTGTGCTGCAGTGGCTGCGAATAGCTTCATAGGTTGCTGTTTAACCCCTTGCACCGCCAAGGGAGGCTCTAGACTTTGATTCTTTTGAAGCAAAATGCATATACATTCAAAAGCACTCATGTTAAGGATATATTTGCTGAGTTTTGAGAAACATGTTCTGTGTTAATCCAAATTTTTATAAGATAGAGAGATTTATTAGCACATCAGAGAGCTTATCATACTCCTCTGTTCCCATTCCCACTTCGCCAATGTAACCAGTCTTCTGATTTTTCCGACTGTAAATTATTTTGCCTGTTCTGGAATTTTCCACTTAAAACTGACCATGTGGGTTATAGACTTAGGAGTCTGTGGACAACTGCCCTCTCCTAGAGCTAAGCTGATGTTTCTCTACCTCTCTTTTGAGAGGCAAACCTTTCATAGTTTTAGAAGTGAGCTGATGACTGCCTGCAAATGGACTGCCCTTACATTCTTCTGTTTTGTTTTTGTTTTTTGTTTTTTCAGAAAAAGGAGCGGGAACTCATACTAAATAAGTCGACAAATGTTTATACTACTGGGAAGATGACCCACCCCCCAAACATCCCAAAGGAGCAGACCCCTGCAGGGACCTCAAATGCATCTTCAGTCTCAGTAAAACCTCCTGAAGAGAAGACTTCTGAAAACAAAAAGACTTACAACAGCATCAGCAAGATCGACAAAATGTCCCGAATTGTATTCCCAGTCTTGTTCGGCACATTCAACTTGGTTTACTGGGCAACATATTTGAATAGGGAGCCAGTGATTAAAGGAGCTTCCTCCCCAAAGTAACTCACCGCACTCCCAGACGCCAAGAGAGCCATACGTCCAGGCAGGTGGCATCAAGGCGAGGTCAAGCTCTGAGGGACTAAAGTACCTGGGAACTGTCTTTCAGGAAATTTTTGCATGTTCCATAGTATGTACAAATAATATTGCCTCAATGTTTCTATATATAACGTCAGATGTTTCAAAGATGTCACATTGATAAAGCGAGGAACTTTCTAGAACAACCAGAGACGATGGCTCTGACACTCAGATGCTCAGTATCTTCTACTGATAGTTTACAAACAAGATAAGTATATTTTTAACTGTTCCAAGTGTTACCTAACAATGTTTTTTATACTTCAAATGTCATTTCATACAAATTTTCCCAGCGAATAAATATTTTAGGAAATGCTCCATGATTACTACTTGACCAACTCTCACAAGAAACAAAGATCACAAAGAGCACATTTTTCATTAAAAAGGAGACTGTGGGCATTTATGTACAAAATTAATTGCCTTTGATAATTCTTACTGTTCTGAAATTAGAAAAGTACTGCATGATCTTACCTTAAAAAGTAGCATAGGCAAATATTTATGCAGACAAATTGAATAACAGAAATATATGGTATGTTAGATTAACAGATAAAATATTTCCCCAAGGAAAAATTTAACTGCATAAAATTCTTTTTTTTTTTGAAAAAAATACTTATTTTTCCCCATCCCTACTCCCTCCACTAAGCAAACAATGACCAAGAAAAAAAAAAGTCGGTGTTAAAACTTGGGTGTGATGACAGTGTTAGCACGTGGCCTGTGGTTCACCTTCTGAAACCCTGACCACCTCTGGCTGCAGCTGGCGTGTAGTGCTTCTGTGGTAAGAAAATGTAATCGAGTTATTTTCCATTTTAGTTCCTTGTACGTATTTCATGATTGAATTATTGCTCTGTTAGCTTTTGTATATGAACCTTAAATGTTCATTAAAAAATAAAAAATGAACTGGTCTTGTGGATAAATGTCAACCCTTGAAAAATATTCATATTTTAGTGGACTCATTTCCTAAATAGAACATAAAGGAAACCCATCATGAAATTGCTTGGAAGAAAACCTCTTCTTTGGCAACTCTGATCCAATTCCCTCCAGTAGCATGTAGAGAGAAAACTGATTTCATGCACAGTGAGAGTAAATGGTCAAGCCAGATGTTCTTTTCTAATGCATCCTTCTCCATGGGTACAGTGGCCCATGGGTCTCTACTTAAGGGTGTCCCCAAGATGGGAGCTCAGTGTGAAAGGTGTGCAAGCTCAGTCCTTTTGCTATTGGTGAACATTGATGCAAAGCACTGCAGTTGATCTACATACAGTTGGAGAGAGTATCCAGGAACAACTTGTGTCATTAGTGGGACCCAGACTTGCATATCTAAAGGATTCTTCCCTCTACCTCCTAAAGACAAGATTTACTCTTAGTGTGTGAGAGCTTTAATAGAATGGTTGTGCATGAGGAGGGAAGAAGAGAAGGGAAAGTTTCCTGGTGAAACACCCAGTTATCCATCCCATTGTTGGTAAATGTCCAGCCCGAGCGGGGCTGCTGAGGCACAAAACCTTGCCAGAAGTCTGGGCAACCTCTAGTTGGGAAGCACAGGAAAGGAACAGAAGACACCAGGCGAGTCTGGGACAAAAGGAGGAAATTTAAGGTACAAATCAAGGTAGCTGCTGCCATTGTCACTCTTTCCATGTGTCTCTCATGCACATTCTCTTCCAGGAGTCTCTGTCTCAACTCTCCGTGTCTCCTCCCAGTTCCCCAAATCCCTGGTGGAGGCCTGGAGTGAGAAGGAAGTGAGTCCTTCTCCATCTATCTATCTCTTTCCTCTCCCAGAGTCTCCCTTTCCTGCCTCTTCTCTGTGTCTCAAGCATCCCCTCACTGCTCAGCTCTGCTCCTTAGGTGGGACAGGGAATATGGAAGTGCCACTTTTTTATGGAGATGCCTCTGTTATAGTAAGAAGGAAATATAAGTCGCCTGGACTTACCAAAAAAACCCTCAAAATTAGGTCAGTCTAAATTGACTAAATAATGGTACCTAGTTCCTAAAAATCCATCTACCTCTCCTGTTTGGGTAGGTATAGACTTGGTCATGGCCATGAACATGTACAGAGGCAGATATTTAGCAGTTTATCTTTCAACTTGAAGAATCATCTAATGCCCAGAGCATCCATTTGCATAACACTAAGTATTTACCCTACAAACTTTCTCATGGTATTCAAGGTCAGTGACCTTATCACCAGAGTGTATGAGTGTATGGTCTTCAAAAACGCAGGTGCCTATTGTGGGGCAACCCTGTTTATGGGGGGATTCCATTGCCCCCTTAATATCAGGGTGCTTTTAAATCTTCATCCTAGAGGCATTTCTCTACTTTAAATGGTGATATATATTTGTGGAGTAACGTGTGCTTTCCATTAAACCACATGAAATGAGTCAAAAAGCAAAAGTGAGGACATTGTGAAACTTCTGTTTTCGTTCACTGTTTAGTTATGTGTCTCTCATATCTTCTCTACAGTTCTACTTAGCATTGTAGTTTAAAAAAAAATGCACAAGCAGTTATGTCAAAATGACTGCATGCATAAACACTCTTTTTGAGGGCTTACCCTGGTGGCGCAGTGGTTGAGCGCTGGGCTGCAAAGCTGCCCACAGCCTCTGCAGCACTGGTTCGATCCCCGGCCACTGGTGAGGGTCCCACATGGCACACAGACCTCTCCTGTCATGCCCACTGCTCCCCTCAGCAGTGTATTTCATCAGTCCGCCTGTTCTGTTCCCCACTCTGGCTCTGGTGAATTCTCTCACCCTCCCGCGCTTCTGACTGTACCCAGTGCTTGTATAAATAAATCTTTAAAAATAAATAAATAAATAAATAAATAAATAAATAAATAAATAAACACTCTCTTTGAACCTCTCAGTCCTAACAGAAAAAGGTGTCTGTATCAGATTGCAATAATTTTCACGACAAGTTATAGTCTCTGTTAACAGAAAATCCTAAGAGCCTTAATGGGTGGATTCCAGTTTGAAGATATGCCTACTGCATTTACATGCTGCTGAGCCTTAAATCTGATGACTATTTAGTGAAAAAGCTCATATTTGTTTTCTGCTCTCTGATTTTGTATTAAGATATTTCCATGTTATTTTTAATGAGGACATCATAAAGAATCACCTTGAGAGAAATGATAACAAGGAGAGAAATAAAAATTTTTGAAAATAATTATAAATTACAGTGCCCTACTTTTAGAACCAGTATATTTAAATAAACCCCTTTTGACATCATCACAAATAGAAAGACAGAATATTCTAATAAATCAGCTACCAGTGTTACCTCTGTATTTTCTCAGGAATCTATAAGTCTACCTAAGGCAAACCTTGGCTGAAGTTAGTCTAGATGTTTGTATACAATAATTGGGTTCATAAGCTTCTAGAATAACTATCAATGTTAAAATAGCACAGCAAACACTCCCATTGAAGCTTGACAAGGAGGTTGTAAATCTAAACTATTTGTCACATTAATGACTTAGAAATAGTCTCCTATGAGATAATTTATGGGACATAAGTATAGTAAATGAGAATTCTCGATTTTACGAACAGGCATGTGAAAACCCAAGGAGATTGATCCATTCGCACAAATCATATCACATCTTAGGGGGAAATTACAACCCAGATTCCAGTTCTCATTTTCCAACTCTGGACTCACAACATCATGCAATTGTTTCCAGATGGAAGTTGATTTGAAACAAAAATGTAACTTAAAATGAAAAATCTTAGTTCAAGACCTGGGATGAATGAATCTATCAAGAATGCCCTGGAGAATTTTACTTTTTGCACTGAAAATATGACCTTTAAATCTGTTCCCTCTAATGTAAAAATCTGTGCTGCTGTGATCTTAGAAACTCTTCTTGGTAGAAATGGATCTGTCAAGGAGTACTCTCCCTTCCTCTCTCCCATCTAAAAGAGGGCAGAGGAGGTAGGAGTGGGAGCTCTGATTGACTGGAGTCAAGTATATTGATGTGATTGCTCCTTCCAGAGCATCAAACTAATGATTATGGTTTACTGAACTTGGGGGCTGAGGTCTAGCTCAAGGGGAAAACTTAGTTACAATCCTGGTCTTCAATCAACATTAGCCTCCATTGTAAGAACTAGTTTCAAATCAAAAAGAACTTTTCTTTGGGAAAATTGGAAATGCTATAGTTCTCTCAATGAAAACAGTATTTTAAATATTTAAAAATTAGTCTTAATGTCTTTTTACAATACTAGCACATCTGGGACAATCAACACCAGGAGCAACCATGGTGAGTATTTGAATATGAATTACTCTGATCATTGCAATTACTTAGGAGGTTTCCAGTGATGAAAGGTAATGCTTTTGAAATGTGCAAAAAAGATTCATTTCATCAAAGATTTTCCTGATTATCTGTTTGTCACTGTCATATTCTACAGACTTGCTCGACACCAAACTCAGATGCACTGTAGCTTATTTTGAAGTGAGCATGGATGCTTTATGGAAACTTGTGATTCAAAAAAATTTACTGCTCAGAATTTCCCTATTTAAAAGTCTGAAGAAATGGGTTTCCTTAGCGTCTGAGTTCAAATTAAAAGACAAAACAGAGGATCAGATAGTATATTTTGTAATGGAAGAGAGAAGAAAATTTGAAATGAGCTCTAATTGACTAATCTACCCAATTATCCTATGCAACTTATTCTACGTTCTACATTTTGTTCTGCTGACTCCCTGGCAGCCAGCTCTGTTCCAGGCCAGTGGCAGGTGCTCCGTGAGTGTGCACTAACAGAGGGAATGAAAACCTGATGGTGGGTGGGACTGGATGTAACCTCTGTTGTTGTTTTTTAATATTTTATTTTATAAATGAAGTATCATTGTTTCACATCCTTGTTAATTTTTTTTGACAGTATAGAGTTTCTCCCCTCAGGTGTGGTCATGGTAGCTCTCCCACCACCAAAGCCTACATGGTCCTTCACCAGAGCCCACTGTGCTCTCCCAGCCCCTGTTCTCACCCCTTTATCTCTTACTCCCCGTCTCCTTCTAGATGCCTCAGATCTGTGGTCAGCTTTCAAGAATTGGTTCAAAAATTTGTCTTTGACCCTTTGGTTGATGAAACCTCTTTGGATAATGATTGTTGTACCACATTCAAAACAATACTTTCTTAGGAATTTATAAAACAATATTTGCTTAGGAGTTTATCAAACAGCTATCCGCATGTGACATAACAGCACTCTTCTCCAACATGGGGATAACAGGTCTGAGGAACAGGCTGATCCTTTAGGCAGAGTGACCATACAACTAATCAGCCAGAAATGAGATTGTGGAATGGAACAGTGAGGACCTCTTTCCCCACAAAATGTAATAAAAACAATGGCAAGATTATAAAAAAACAACCATTTCAGTACTCTGGAAATTTAACCAATGTCACTTAACACAAGTGTTTATTAAAGAAGAACTACTGACTCTCAAGAACAGTGACATTTCAGCTTAGGGATATATTCATCTCCCCACCATCTATCTGGCATGGTCACTTTGAAAACCAGCAGCCTTGGTGTCGCCAGAGGGGAATCACTTGATTTGGAACTCCACAAGATGTCTTGTCCCCAGGACTTTGGCATTATTTGACCTGACTAAGACCTCCAGGGAATAACTTCCTCCCCAGGGCATTGCAGAGAGCCATAGCAATCCCAGCCATCAAGAAAGATAAGCTTCACAGCTTCCTAAGGCTGTGAGGACAGCAAAGGAGGGAAAGAGACCAGCCCAGAATGCAAAGGGAAAACTTAGTGAATGCGATGTCTGTAGATGACAATGTAAACCTTTGACATGTTCCTGGGGATCTGGAAGGTTATATGCATGTTCAGTGCTGTGTAAGCAGTCAGAACAGGACAGAGTGATGCTGATCTAAAAATTAAGCAAGAATTACATGATACATCAGAGGTTTTAATATCCAAGATCTACAAAGGCATGCAACTC